TCTTACTGATATCCAGATCTCCTCTGAAAGATGACATGCAAGGTCCAGCTCCATATAAACTCTAGTATGAATTGGGAGCGAGACATTTGCAGTCCTCTCATCTACTTTTAAGAATGCTCCAAAAGAGATCACAATCTCCCTTAGAATACCCTTCGGGAAAAATGAAACTGGAAGGTAAGGAAGTCGTATCCACACAGTTGCCAAGGATGAGTCTTTGTTTGGATGATAATTTGGATCCTACTTGAAGAGGCAAAAGGGAGAAGATTGGATTTCATGACACTCAATTGACCATGCCTTAGCAAAATCCTCTGTAGAAAAATTTCAGATGAATGCATATCGGGGACCCAATAACGGCACAATAGGATCGATTTCTAACTCTCAATGCTAGATAATGTTATCCCTAATGACATTAATGGGTGGTCTGGTTCCTATAAAATTTGCCACAAGAGTATGCATAAAAAGATTTTCGGCTTGTTGGATTTCTATTGATGAAAATTGACTACTAGTTTCCCATCCACTTCCGTCCATGGTCATAGCGCTATTTCTAGATCCAGTAGTTTGCCATTATCAGAAGGTTTCTTGGGACGAACATTTGATACCATATTTGCAAAAGATGCATATGTAAGAGCATCTCCAATGCTCTCTTTATATTAAGATTTTTTTTATAATAAAGAGTTTTGATCCAAATTTCATCTCCAATGCTATCTTTATCACAATCTCTATCTTTAAAATTGATATAGAGAGTGTCTTTGACTCTCTAATACTAGAGAGTCCAAATGACTCTTTATCTTATATTTTATTAATAAAAATTACTATTTCCTATGTCACTCAATCTCTTCACCAATAGTCTCCTTAGGTTTTATAGATTTTGTCAAAATAAAGAGTTAACTAGAGAATAACATTAGAGATGATATTGATCTTTAATCTATATAATTAATGATGCTCTCTATTTATATTAAAAATACTAATTAAAAGTAAAGAGTACCATTGGAGATGCTCTAATAAGATTAGGTTTCGGGTTTGGGTTTGATGGAAGTAAGGGAAGGAGGATGGGGAAGTAATGGCAGGGCGGAGGGGCCGATCCCCCATCGACTTGTCATCGTGCTTACCTTGCCACTAATGGTAAGGTAGCGGCTAGGGCTCCCGAATTTTTGAAGCGGCTTTTTGAGATATTTTTCGAGGGATTAGTGTTTCCATGAAACCACTAGCAACACACTCTTCTTGTCTCGTCAAGATAAACAATATAAATGCAAATGCATGTTCGATGACAAAATAGGCTAGAATTGGATCCGACCATATCTTTCTCTCTTCTCCCTTCTCTCTACTCGTTTTTATCCTTTTTCTAAAATAAAATTGGAAACCGAAATAAGATTTTTTGAAAACAACAAGGAACAAAATACAACATTGGATAAAATTTGTATATAAATACTTGGAGACAACTTCAAATTATAAAAATGCCACCGCATAATAAATATAGAATGCATACGAATCCGAATGAATAATCCAACTAAATGTACATGAATAATAAATAAATAATAAATCTTATGATCTTTTTTTTTTAATTTTTATTTTTAAGCTTTCTCAAGTGCTAGTATTCATGCATTACACTATGAGTACACCAATTTTCAATATTTTTTCAATGGAATATATGTACTTTAATTTTTTATTTGAGTATATCAACATTTTTAAAAGTATCAATTGAGTGTTTTTGTTAGTTTTTTTTTTTTTGTTAAATGATGACGTGTTTATTATCCTCGGAATACCAAATTATAATTTTGCATTTTTGTTTTTCTAAATAGAGTACATGAACTTTATTTATTATTTTCATTTTAGTACAATTTTTTTTCAAAATTGTCAATCAACCACTTTCATCAATTTTTTTTTTGTTAATTGATGATGTGTCTAAATTTCAAATTATATTTTTATTTCTCTTTTATTCTAAAGAAACTTTATCCCTTAATTATTCTATCATTTTTAAATTTTGATAATTGTTTTTAAAAAGATTATTTTTTAGTTATAAAACTTTAAACTAAACTCAATTAGGTTTGTCGTTAAAAAAAATAAAAGAAAAGAAAAAAGCTGAGTTAAGTTTTAGGCGTGAAAGTTTTAGGATACAAAAACATGAGATTTTTCATTAAGAAAATTCATATGTTTGCTTTCAATGTTCACTCCTAAATCTAACCGAGGGTATTTTTTTTAACCATAATCCGACTTAGTTTAATTTTAGACTTTATAGATGAAAAATTATATATTTTTTTAATTCTTTGTCAAGTTTTGAAATGATAAAATAATTTGAGAAAGTTTTCTTCAACAAAAAGAAGGTAAAATTATAATTTCCTATTGAAACACATTATTAGTTAATGAAAAAATTGATAAAAGTATTTGATTGATAATTTTGAAAAAATTGATATACTCAAACAAAAAAATAAAATAAAATTCATGTATTCAATTGGAAAAAAAAAAGTAAAACTATAATTTGGTATTCTAAGGATAACAGAGACATTATTATTAAATAAAAAATTAATAGAAATACTTGATTGATATTTAAATAAAAAATGATATACACAAACAAAAAAAATGAAAAAAATTCATATACTCAATCAAAAAAAATTCAAAGTTATATTGCAATTATCCCAACTTTAAAATGATGGTGTCGTTTTAATGTAAATTATCATGCTCAGCTTTTCTCCAAAAAGTTAAGGAAATTATTATTAATAAAACCATTATTTACTATTCTTTCACTATTTGAAACACTCGTTCATACACTTACAAATCATTATTCACACACTCACAAATTATTATTATTCCTTTCACTATTTATATCATTTTTGTAACGCTTTGACCTTAATTTTTCTATATATTTCTTTTTCAATTTCAAACTTTAATTGTATGGTGATTTGATCCCATTTTGTTTTAGTATTTTTTATTAATTATTTTTATTATTTAAAATTTACTAATTTAATTTGTCATTTTTTAAATTCTCTTTTTTTTTTTTCAATTTCAAACTTTAATTTGTTAAATATTTTTATTATTTAAAATTTACTACTTTAATTTGTCTTTTTTTTTTCAATTTCAAACTTCAATTATAATGTGATTTGGTTCCAATTTGTTTTAGTGTTTTTTTGTTAATTATTTTTATTATTTAAAATTTACTACTTTCATTTATTTTTTTTAATACTCATCCAATTAATTTAAAATTATATTTACTAACAGTTTTGATTTATTTTTCTATATGTATGGATTTTGAAATAAATTTTTAGAAAACATGATTAATTTTTCTTTTGAAAAATAGATTTAGATAATTTTTAAATTATAGTGGCATGATATATATATAATTTTTCTGAAATACATTTTTAGATTAAAAGCTTATTTCAAATTTTTTTTTGATTTTTTATATTCTTTAAAATTTAATGCATTAAGTTTTCATTTTTTTAAAATCTTTTGTTTTTTCAATTTCAAACTTTGATTATATTGTGATTTGGTGCCATTTTGATTTAGTATTTTTTGTTAATTATTTTTATTATTTAAAATTTACTACTTTAATTTGTCATTTTTTTTTTAAATTCTCATCCAATTGATTTAAAAATATATTTATTGAAAGTTTTGATTTATTTTTCTATATGTACGGATTTTGAAATAAAGTTTTGGAACATGATTATTTTTTCTTTTGAAAAATAGATTTAAATAACTTTTAAATTATAGTGGTATGATTAATATATATAATTTGTCTAAAATACATTTTTAGATTAAAAGTGTATTTTAAATAATTTTTCTAGGTTTCTTTTTAAGAAGAAAACTCAAATTAATTAATTAATAGTTGAAAGTCAAATATAAAAAATAAAAAGAAGATGGTTGCTCCGTGTGTGAGGCTCTGTATTCAAGGACTAGCCTTGCATGATATAGAGATAAAAAAATATTTAAGGAGGAAAAAAAGAAAAAGAATTCACATGTTTTATTAATTTATTTCTTTTTTTATTTAATCAAAATTAATCAAAATCAAATTTGTAATAGTTTTGATTTTAGTCTATTAACTTCAAATTTAGTCAATAGATTCCTTGCAAGTTAACTTTTTTCTTTTTATAGTATTTTTTATTTTAGATCGAAAACTCCGAATTCACTTAGTGCAACAACTACTACACTAAGTATTTACTATTTATTTATTTATTTTTGATTATTTGAAAATTAACATATTTTAAATTAAATAATTAAAATTATATTTTGGCTTAATCACTCAATGATTCAAATTAATATAATTTTTTATTTAATATTATTCATTCTTTTGTAAATAAATATATAAAAATTAAATTTATATTTTTTTCAAAAATCGATATTCTCATCAACATTAAATAATAAAAAAAAATTTCAATTCCATATAAGCTTTTACCAATTGTTATTTATGTTTTTCGACATAATCTTATGAAATATTAAAGCTTTTTTTTTAAAAAAAATATTTATTTTTTTAGTTAATAATATAAAAAGGGTAAATTCTTTTTCTCAAGGAAAATTATGCAAAATACAAATAGGAAATAGTTAAATACAAATGTTTTAATTAAAAAATCATAAATAATTTTTTTCATCTTTGATTTCATATATTGTTATATATTTAAACTATAAAATAGACTGTCAAACTGAAATAATTTTTTAAAATAATTTTATATATTTTATTCAATCGATAAAGTAGTGCGAGTAAAAAAAATTAGTAAAGAACTAATATATAAACCTAATTTGTGGTGACATATTGCTATCCTTAAGCATGTCTTATTGTATTCTTGGACCCCGATTAAGATTTAATTGGGCTACTTATTTTGTTGGGCTAAGAACCTCAACCGTGACTGAGCTTTATTTTTTATGTTATGGGCCCTCGCCTGCTCCTGCCCTCACTTCCTTGGGAGAGCTAGGAGTGTGCGTGATATATATATAACACCGAGAACTATAAATAGTCTGGGATCAGCTCGAAAAGTAAAAATTAGGGTTTGTTTCAATTTCGATCTGTGCTAACAATGTCCGCCGTAGGTTCTAGAACTCGTTTTCCAGTTGTTTCGGTGCAAGCGGGGGACCGAAGAAGAGACGATCATCCATCAATTGTCAAGATATCAATGGAAAAGCAGAAGAAGCTGGCAGGTTTTCTTGTGTGTTTTGATTTAATCAGAGAAATCAACAACAAGAAGCAGCGAATGGTGCGATGCAAAGCTTGTTATGAGGTGCATGAAGCTCCAGTAGTAGATGGTGTGAAATTGGATATCGAAACCTGTCGTGCTGATTATTCAGAGATGTTTGATATCATCTACTATATTCTTTCGCCGGAGCAATGTAAGATCAAATACCCTGAGCTTTTTTATGATGATAAACTGCCGTTTTGGTTCCCTGACTTTAAAGCATGCCGCTGCATCGGCGGAGGTGCTACTTTACGAGTGGACGCACACAAAAATAAACTTTATGCAAGCCTAGCGAAATTTGCTATCGATGAGTACAACAAGCATGAGGTCATCTTCTTCCCGTTAACTATATATGCATTCTTCGCTCTTACTGTTATTGTTGTTACAAATATTTTAGTACTGCTAGAGAAATTGGGTTGCATTTATATTCTATATTATTATTTTTTAAAAAAAGAAATTTTGATTTCTTAACGTTGCTTTTGATTGGGATTAGTCAAGCAGTTATCTTTTTATGTTATTCTACTGTAGAATGCATCTCTTGAGTATGTGAGGGTGGACGGAGCCTACTTTAGTATAGTTTCAGGGCTAAATCAACATGTATTTATCGAAGCAAGAGATGCTGCTGCTGGAGGGGAAAAGAAGCTATATCGTGCTAAAATTTATTTGAATCTCACAGGCCAAACTCAGTTGTCGCTGTTTAAGCCTGTCGAAAGACCATCGGAGCAATCCTGCAAGGTTATTCTCCAACTTGCTTGTGTTTGTGCTTTTTTCACTGTTAGGCCCAGCTTCCTTTCCTCTCTCTTCTCTTCATGCGCAATTAATTTCATCTCTTAGTTTGATAGGGTCTATGCGTGCATAAATGTGCCCTTCGTTGTCAAGCTCGCTAAAAAATTAGCCAAGTTTTTGTCTCCTGGATCATTAAAAAGCAATAATATTATATTTAGTTCCATAATCAAGCCAACACCTTTAGATTTAGACAGGCAATTTTTGAAGATATAGTTCTTCTAATTAAATAGATACCTTTAGACACTCATTTTTTTGAATATTTTCACTATGAAGAGCCCATTAGCGGTTCACTGGAGGGAAATGAGAAAAGAAAATGTTTTTCCTTTTCTTTTTCTTCCATTTTTTCACATCTTCACCATTTTTTTAATTAGAATTTCACAAAGCAAAGTATTGCTCAAGATTACTGCATTGTTCATTTGAATTTCTTTGGTAAAATATTGAACATCCCTCCCCGTAAGAATGAAGTGATTGGTTTGAGTTTTCTTCTACAACCCAGAGATTCCATACAGTTTGAAAAAGCATGCTGCTATTCCTTTGGTTCCGTGTACTCTCTGATGTTTGCTGTACGGCTTTGTTTGGGTTCTAACTTCTAATACAGGTTGACCCCCCTTTTATTTTCTTTCTATCTTTGTGTTTATTGACTTCTTATTATCAAAAACATCTTCTTACTCGTATCCATATCTATCATGTTTAGTATTACTATTGTTTTCTGCCTCCCAGGAACTTATGCTGCCCTCACTTTTTCCACCTGTTGTTAAGTTTGGAGTTCGGAAGACAAGTACACCTCTCTCTATATTAGTTATACTGTACTAGGTATATGTGAAAAACTGTGGCTTCTCTACTTGGGAGACTCCCTGGTTGTTGTTCTTGTACGGGGCATGATCGCTTTCTTTTACCTTCTTCAATCGCCATTTTCCTTTACTGTGTGTAACTAAGGGCTGTCTCTCTTTCTTCCATTTTACTTGGTCCTACAATTTCTTGAAGTTTAATCATTCAAATAGCATCATTTGTCTTTCTTTTTATGCAGGTTGACATTCTTATGCTTTAACGATGCATGTTTGTTTTACGTGCAGGCTGATGAACCAACTACTAGCTAGGAATGTTCGGGGAAGTTTTGCTGTGAAATGATAATATAGATCTATTTTTGTTTTCAACTTACGCAATAAGTCAGGTGTATGCTATCTACCAGCTAGGTGGTGGTTCGTCATGTTTTTAATGTATTTGATTAGGAAGTTATGTTTATCTATAAAATAACTTAGCCATTAACTTCTTGTATGTGTGTTTGTGCAGAGATGGCAATGGAGTTGTTTAGGTTTAGTTTGGACTATGTAAGACAGATTTTTTGTTTAGGTCACTGGGAAAAGAATTGTATGAGCGAACTTGTTGGTCTCACATCAATCAGGCTTGATTAGGACGTTATGTTTATCTATATAATAACTTAGCCATTAACTTATTGTATGTGTATTTGATTGTGTTCAAGAAAAAATATTGCATGATGAGGCGACCCAAGCCTAAGGGATCCATCTGAGTGGAACCTATGATTATTAGCTCAGCTCCATACCTTCAAAAGCATAAAAAAGGTACACTGTAGGCCATAGATTTTTGTTTGTAGTTTTTTTGTTCAATATCGTGATGTTGCTTCATTAGAAGTTGCAATGGAGGTTGAAAGAGGTGATCGCTAGGATAACATAAGAGGGATAGGACGCATTTATCTTCTTCTTCTTTTTTTTTTTTTATTATTATTATTATTTTTTTTTTTAAATATCACCAATTCCAATTCTACAGGTTTGATTTCCTGGGACAGTTTTACTAGATGTTTCTCATGGAAAATTCGAACAAGGTACGATTAAGAAGAAAACTTGAAAATGTATTATTTCCATGTATTTTTTAGGTCTCATTTGGTGATTTTTCGCTTCAAGTTGGCTCTGGTGCGTGGTTTGAGCTAAAGAGTGAAGAAACCATCTCGCAGCTGTCAAGTTCTGACATAAATTAAGTGCATGCAAGCCCATCGACTGCCATGGATGCAAGATATTAGAAGTTTCATTGTCATGTTAGCATATCAGTTAAACTCTTACTCTCTGTTGCATAATCTTGGCTTGCCTTCTTTTAGCTGTATTGATCTCGCACAATCGCTCATTCAGCTGCTGCCGTTCTCCTCTCCTCGGCCTAACAAGAAACCCTGTCACGTAAGCTCTGAATTTCTTGAAAAGAACAGCATACTTCATGTGGATTTGAGCGAGAAAACACTTCAAGAATGCATTAGAAGTATCATGGGTGTGCAAGGAAAAGCCATCAAACTGTAAAGAAGTCTGCCTTGCAAACTTTTCTGATAAAAATTGTGCCCAGACTTTTTTTAATGAAATTTATCATCCTTTCATGAAAGCAGTCACAGTGAAAGAAGTTGCTGATAGATTAGCAAACATTTGGATTATCATGGAGATGGAAGCCTTTAACCTATGTCTGTACCTTGGAAATGGATGTGCAAGCTGGAGTTTTTGTTGATAAATTAGAAGCCTTTTTGCTTTTTATTTTCCTCAATCCAATGCAGATAAAGATTTAACTCATTAATCTCTCTATGAAAAGACGTAGCAATGCATGAAATCCCAAATTACTTTTCCATTGAGAGATTTCATTTTGATCAGTGAAGGAATTTTCTGGTATATATGTATTTTGCAAGAAGAAGAAGATAGAAAATGTGAAAGGGAACTGATTTTTCATGACTGCAAAAACATATTTATATATTGATACAAAAAGTATGACTCAATACCAACTTTCCATAATTTAAGAAAATTTGTTCCCTTGTCTAAGCTGAAAGTAGGTTCCACCACAATTAATTCAAACTTCCAGTACATTCATCAATTATATTATAAAATATTCAAAAACAAAAAGAAAAAAAAATCTGGTGCATAGCTTTGGATCAGTACTTTGATCATGAACAACAATCTTCATCAATCAGAAGGTAATTAGGTATCGGTTCATTTGTCACAACCTTCACATTTCTTTTCTATAATCAGAAGGTAATTAGGTATCGGTTCATTTGTCACAACCTTCACATTTCTTTTCTATAGAATTAGCTTTTTCTAAGCACAAGAAGACTATTCAATCTTAGTAAATCAATCAACACTCAAACAAGGCAGATGTCCATACCGTTGCAGTAGAATTAGCATAAACATTGCCATTTTGTTTGACGCTACATTGTGCACCAGCCTTTTCATGGCCTTATGGCTATACACTAGAAACATACTCGAGTTTAAACAGGTAAATTCAGTTCAAAAAAAAAAAAATCGACCTCCATCTCTATCCAAACTAGCCAAACCCGACACCAATAGCCCCTTCTTTCTCTATTCTCTCCACCGCCGAGCAGCAACCCAGCTACCGCTTTTGCTTATTTTTTGAACGTTTATCTTTTTTTCTTTTTTTACCAAGGGTTGGAGAGTTTGTAGTGCAAACGGGTTTTAGGATGCAAAAAGAATGAGGATTGTGTTGTTTTGGAGAATTTGGGAGTGGATTATGGGGACATTGGCCATGACTGGCGAGTCTTTGGCAGTGGTGGTGGCCAATAATTTTTGGTAGAGAAGGGAAGGGTTCGATTGTCACCCTTTTTCTCCTCCCATTTGTCTTCATTTTTTTTTAAAAAAATTTCTATGTCATTTACATATGACTGTCACGGCATTGCAACATGTCAAATGGATCTTATTAACGGGCCACATGGGTAATTAACGAAAATCTAATTAACTACAACACTTGATTAAAAAATAAATTATAATTTGGATTATTCAAAAAATAAAGATTAAAGAGAACATATTTAATTAAAAAAAATTGACAACTAGATAAATTGAAAATTGGCTTAACTCTAAACGGTACTCTAATGAGGCATAATTTATCATTCAATTTCAATAAATAACAACATGTAGGAGAAACGCATTCCAAATGCTAAAGAGTCAAGTTTTATTTGCACACATCATTATGAGGCTAAAAAGAAAAAAGAAAGGTGAGAGGTAGGCACTTTTATGTCAAATTTTCCCACAGAAGATAAGCACCCTCGTGTTATACGGAAGAATCAACTCGGAGCAGGTCAAACATTTTGCTACAAGACTAGTTCAAATCAAGTCAATTTCACCATTAAATACATCACAGAATTTGTAAAAAAGACTCCCCAATATACATAAGATAATGAAACTTTCCTGAATTCCTTCAAGTGCTTGCCAAGGCGTCGAATAAAAAAAATAAATAAATAAGAAAGAAAGCATTACTCTTACCTCGAGCAATGATCGAATATTGTGATTGATATACCTGAAGAAATACTTGAGAGAAAAAACCCAATCTCCTACTCAGATTAACATCCAAAACCTCAACAATAGGTCCATCAAAGGCCTGTACACCTTTCTTGCGGATGAGTTTTGGATCAATCAAAGGACAGAAAGTATACCAATTAAATGAAGGCATGTTATTTACACAATACTAGTTTCATCAACGACTATAAGGATCTTCCAGTCATCTAAATGATGAAAGATCTATATCAAAGACATGTATTCTCCAAAGTAAATATAGAGCAAAAACTATACCCTAATCTCACACTAATTAATTGCCATCTTCTCATATATAAAAACCAACTGGTCAAAAGTTATAGGTTCTCGCTTTCTAAGTTTAAAACAAATATAATACTATATTTTTTTTATATAAGAGTTAAATTTTTTAAAGTATATTTAGGCAATACACCTCATTCCGTAAACTAACTTAACTATCAAAGTGTCTTTAAACACTAAAAGAAGATTTGTTTATTTAGTAGATACTCATCATCAATTTAACGTACTACAAGTTATATCAACCATATGATCATTCCGGATTGGAAGCCATCTTACCATCAATCCGAGTTAAAGAATCATGACCTTATCGAGTCATTGATTGATGAAATAATAAAATGTACTTGAGTAGTTGTAGTGATTTTATCATTGGCTAGACTTTTGGAGAAATTCTGTGATCGTATATTTGGTCGCTCGATATATGTGACCTCTTGATTAAAATGAGTTCACAATAAGGAGTCGCCA